ATTTAAGAACAAGATTTCATGCGGTAAAACTTGGTGGAAAGGAAACAATAGGTCTGGCAGATGAATGTCTTCTCTGTCCCTCATTCTCATGGACTATTCTGAGGCACAGCTCTCTGGTCAGGCTCTAGAAATGTCCATCACGCTCAGTGAATGTAACTGTCTGCCACTAAAGTTTCCAAATCTCTTCTGCTTTGCTCATGAACATGAGAACCCATGTCTCACGGAGCTACCTATCTTGCCTCACCTCTACCTCCTTACTGCTTCCTTCTGCATGAAAGCCCAATATTGTGATCCTTGCCTCAAAGTCATTTTTTTTTGAGAAAACACAAGGTTATAATTGAACAGCTTATAACTGAAAACCAATTATCTAAATATGTGCAGAAAAACTAACAGTGTACAAAAATAATTATCATCACCCATATTATGAGAAAAATACATTTTAATATGATAAAGGCTAAATCTTTAAAAACTAAAACAGAGTTCTATATAGGGATTTAATAGAAATGCTATAGGTCAAGGACATAGAATCAGACATGAGTCCTAGTTGGGCAGCGAATTTAACAACCCACCAGAACAAATGGCTAGGGCTGAGGTGTACCTCATCAGTATAGTCCTTAGCTAACAGAGTGATTTAACCTTGAAAATCTGGTGGGGACTGAGGGATCAAGTTGACACATGGTGCACATAAACTCAGTTAGGCACACAGGCACATAAATAAAAAAATAATAATAAAAGAAAGGTTAAGCCAGGCATGGTGGCACACGCCTTTAATCCTAGTACTCCAGAGCCAGAAGCAGGCAGATCTCTGTTTGCCTTGTATACAAAATGAGTCCAGAATAGACAATAATTTTTTGTCTCACAAAACCAAAAAATAAAAAGGAGGAGGAGGAAGAGGAGGAGGAGAAAAAGAAAATAAGAAAGAAAAAGAAAGGAAGGAAAGAAGAAAGAAAAAGAAAGAAAAGTTTAAGATATGATAAAACAAAACCAACCAACAAATATGTGGTCAGGATTAAAAGAAAGTAACACGGATGATGCTCCAATCCTGAAGGTAGAGATAGAAACTCCAGGCTGAAAGAGTAATTTACGGTATCCACAGGCAGTGGAAGTGTGTAGGCCAGGGCTCTAGGAGAGGGATTTAACCAATACCCGGAGGCAGTATGCTTATGGTTCATTGACAAGTCTTGAAAGTCCTTCCTGAGACATGATAGTAGGTTCACTTGGATCCTACCATATTTCTGGCCATATCCGAACATAGGAACTTGGTAGAAGGGAAAAATGTAAGGTCAGAGAGAAGTTCATCCTGGGTTGAGCTGTGCCCTCAATCCCACTGAGAGTCAGAAAAGGACATGCAGACACACAGTAAGAAGGGTCATGAGAAGATGGAGGTTGGCACTAACATTGCACTGCCAAAATAAAACAAAACAACAACCAAAAAAAATCAGTACACACCAGAATCAAGAAGGGCAAGGGCAAATTCTTCTCTGGAATTTTCAGAAGGACTGTGTGGCTCACTGAACCTAGATTGCAGACATGAGGGCTTTAAAACTGTAAAACAATGTGCTCATTATTTTATCTACCATGTTTGTAAGGGTCCTAGAAACTTAATATAGTACATAAGTTTGGAAAGTAATAGATTTTTTCTTTCTAAAGTATAGGGTAGCCTTAAACAAGAGGGAACATGGCATATACTTCTATACCTCAAACTGGAGGACATAAGACAAAGTCCTAATAAAATGGTCAGACACACAATAACCCATTGAAATGGTCTAACCACATGAATATGATTTTCAGTTCAAAAAGTCAATCTGTCGAATGAAAACTACCCACTGCTTAATGTCCACCCAAAGCAAATAATTCAGGCTAAAAATAATTGGGATATAACACATTTATCCCTCAGAAAGTCCTGGTATGTGTGATGAGAGCAGTTATTGTTATCATTGTGAGGTACAAAGTCTCAAATGCAGTGCCAGAAACAACTAGGCAGAAATTTATCACGTGGATACTGTATCAAGCAGATTTTGACTATTCTGAGCAAAGATAACCATATTCTATAAAAGGAATAGACATTATGGGTAGCAAGACTGGAAAGTAATGGAAAAAACTATAGACGGTGAGGCAAGAAAAAAACAGAAGCCTAACAAAATAGTATGACAAGAGAAGATTGAAGAGTCAAGAAAATAATAATTTTAATGGGAATCAATATGAGTACAAAACTTGGAAAGCATAGAAGACATCCCATTGGAAGCCATTCTTAAAATACAGGAAGTTTTAAGCTAGCCTTATGAATTCAGATGAGTAGAATCAATGAGGTTAATCCTTAGGACGGAAAGATGCACCTTGAGTTAAAATGGAGTCAAATGGAGCATTTGATACAAGAATAAAATAGAAATATCACTTGAAATGAAAACAAAGTCAAATCCTTTTACCCAAAATAAGTCCACCTTCCAGTAAAAGTCAACTTAGTCAGCATGCTCAGGACCAACACAAATACTAATTAAGCATTTGAACATCAAATAAAAAAAAAAAAGGAAGAAAGAACTGTATTTCTTTGGGAGAAAAAAGGAAAAAAAATAACCTTTGTTTCTACACAGAAGATGGGGGGGCGGGGGATGCTGCTTCTGGAACTATTACTCCATGCTGTTTTTGTAGCTGGAGCAAGCATCAGGAAGAAAAAAAGCAGCATACTAAAAAACTAGTTATGAAGTGAATTCATCACCTTTTCTGCCTTTATTGACCTTGGTGTACAGTATCTTTAAGGAGGCCTCAAAAAAACTAGGAACAGACATTGTCTTAAAGTTGTAGCCACTTTTGAAAATTCTGTGTGACAAGAAAGCACTAAGGATGCTACTGTGACTTAAACTAAGGACAGGAACTTGAAAAAGGATTGGAATTTAAAGGCAAGACAAAGGATGCACAGGAAAGCCTTCTTACTTGCCTTGAATCGAACAGACACCATTGGTTGTCAGAACCCAGGACTCCCCACCAGGAACCCGAACAAATCAAAGCAAAAGTGGCGAGGGAAAAAGTTATGTCAGATGGTTCACAAAGTGTCTATGTCTGTCAGCATTCTATCAGTAAAACAGTGGGTGGGAGGCTGAATTCGGGAGACTGAAATATTTACAGGTTTCTAGTTACTCTAGTGTTGACACTTGCAGATCTGCTATGAAATAAATAACCATACTCAAACAGGAAGATTGCAAAGTTTACACTCCCACCAGCAGTGGAGGAGGGTTCCCCTTTCTCCACATCCTCTCCAGCAGGTGCTGTCTCTTGAGTTTTTGATCTTGGCCATTCTGATGGGTGTAGGGTGAAATCTCAGGGTCATTTTGATTTACATTTCCCTGATGACTAAGGATATTGAACATTTCTTTAAGCGTTTCTCTGCCATTTGATATTCTTCTATCGAGAAATCTCTGTGTAGCTCTGTACCCCATTTTTTAATTGGATTACTTGGTTTGTTGTTTTTTAACTTCTTGAGTTCTCTCCCTCTCCCTGTCTCTCCCTCTCTCTCTCACTCTCCTTATCTCTTTCTCCCTCTCAACCTCTTCCTCTCTCTGTCCCTCTTCCCCTCCCTCTCCCTGTCTTTCTCTCCTTTCCCTCCCTCTCCCTCTCCCTGTGTCTCTCCCTCCCTCTCCCCTCTCCCTGCTCTCTCTCTCTCTCTCTCTCTCTCTCTCACACACACACACATACACACACAGTTTAAATATAAAGTAAATCTTTTAATTAAAAAAAAACACCCCACATTATAAAAGGAAATGTAGCCAGGGAGTTGACTCAGCAGGAAAAGGAGTCTTCTGCCAACCAAGCCTGACCACCTGGGTTGGATCCCTAGGATTACTCCCAAGCCCAATATAGATAAGTACAAAATATACCTATTGAAATCAAGTCCTCAAATACCTTTTTTTTAGCTGCTTCAAAGGCATATCCTAGCTTTTATTTTTAAAGGGCCTGCGCCGCAGAGTCAATATAAAAACACAAAAAGTCCCATCAGTTTAATAACAATAATAATAAAAAACAAAAACAAAAATGGAAAACTGGGGGCGAGGGAAGTGACCCCTGGGCAGGGGCATAGAGATCCCTGCTCACATAGCACCAGGCCTGGCTGCAGGGTCCCCCAGTATTGCTGTTGCTACGAGGTTGGGGGCCAGCGATTGTGCTGTGGGAGCCGAGGCCATCTGAGTCAGGACCCTTACTTCTGAGGTGTGCTCAGCTTCTGCATGCCCGGGACCTTGTCCAGCAGGCCAGGGATGAAGGCCTCAGCGGGTTTGTAACAGTCAACTAACAGCTCCTTGACTCTAGCAGCCCGGGTGTCATCACTTTCCCTGGCCAAGAGTTCATCCACATACATCTGGAGCTCCGCATCTCCAGGCTGAGGCGCTTCCATAGCTCCTGGCGGTCCTACTTGAGGGTGACCTTCCCTTGCTGTCCCACCCGGCCATCATCATCTGCGCCCCCTGGGCCTTCGCCTGCGGCCGCAGGGGGACTCTGGGAGTAGACTCAGGGTCCTGTGTTGCCACTGCCCGGGGGCGGCCGCCGGGGCCACTTGCGCGCTCCGGCCCCTCGCTGAGCCGCCGCCTCCCGGCCGCCCGCCGGCTGGCTCCGGACTCCTCTCGGGCTTGGCTCTTCGAGGCTCCGCGGCAAGGGCGGCGGCCAGCTGGGGCGCCCGGGAGCAGCTGGAGCATGCGGAGACCCCAGGGTTCCTCAAATACCTTTTTAAACAAGCATTCTTTAGCCCTGTCTTCTCTATCTTTTCAGAAAACTAGGACTTCTCATTTTTGTTGTTTTTCTTTCTAAAATACACTAGTAACATTCACCACGCCAACTTTTTCTTATTTGTTTTATGTGTAATATATATTATATATACACACATATATATGTGTGTTCGATTGATTTAAAAGTTGATGAAAGTAAAGTGTCAAGTAAAAACAATATGCATTTGATTTAATCATGCCTGACTCTAGTGTCTAGATATAAACAAAACAAAACAAAAAACACTTTACCTTGGTTAGAAATCCGTATCTTCTAGTCAAATGCTAGGCAATCTGCAGATGGCAATTGTGACAAGGTTCAATGGTGACTGCACCAAGGGCTCCCTTCTTGGGGCCCCACCCAGTCACTTTGATTCCAAAGTTCAGATACCAACAGTGATGTCACAGGTAGTAAAGGGGGCGTAGTTGACATCTATAGGGTTGCATTTTGTTTCTCCTGCTATGTGGGACACCCAGCGGGTAAAAGAATGACACAGTATCAGAACAACACAACTTCCTATGGTAGGCCGCTTGATAAACTTCATGCCTATTGCAGATCTGACTAGCTTGCTGTACAATGGTAAAGAAAATCACTCGCAGTTTGGTGACTCATGATTCTGGGTAAAAGAGCCCCAATCTTCTCTCATGTCTTCTGCACCTATAATCTTTAATGCTGTCCTGGTTGCTAGATTACACAAGAAGGACAAATAGCTTCAAGCAAAGCCTTATTTATAAAATTTTTTTTCTTTCAACTCCAACTCAACAAGAGCACTGTCTCAGTCAGAGTTTTGTTGCTTTGAAGAGACACCGTGACCAAGGCAACTTATAAAGGCGAACATTTAAATGAGGCTGGCTTACAGTTTCAGAAGTTCAGTCCACTATCATCATGTCAGGAGGCATGGCAGCATACAGGTAGACCTACATGGTGCTGGAGCCACAGTTCTACATCTTGATTGGAAGGCAGCCAGCAGGAGACTGGAATTCCACGCAGGGCAGAGCTTGAGCACAGGAGGCCTCAAAGCCCACAGCCACAGTGGCACACCTCCTCCAACAAGTCCACACCTCCTCCCAATGCCACTCCCTCTGGGCCACGCTGTCAAACACAGAGTCTGTGGGGGCAGTTCCTGTTCAAATCAGCACAAGGACTTAGCACTGTACTTTCTCTATGCCAGCGGTTCTCAACCTTCTTAACGCTGTGACGCTTTGACACAGTTTCTCATGTTGTGGTAGCACGCCCCCCCCCCGTCCTACCTCCCCCCTCATAAAATTGCTATTTTATAACTGTTATTTTGCTACTGTTACGAATCATAGTGTAACAATCTGCTGTGCAGTATATCTGATATGTGGTCCCTGAAAGGGTCATGACCCACAAAAGCTACAAAGTGAACCAGGAAAAGGTATGAGGACAAGCAGCAGGGGGTCTCCTATTCCCATCGAGCCTTAGGGTGGCATGAAGTTCTCTTTTCACCCAACTTTGTGTACCACTCGCTACCCACTATCCCCACCTGTCACACAGGGGAGAAGACAGGTGTGTTTGGGAAACTCCTCCGCTCTTCTTATCCAGCTATCCCTTGACAACTCCATCCTGGAGGCATCTGTCCTAAACCTTCCATTGCCAACTGAATACTGACTTAGAAGTCCCCAAATCCCCAGTCACCCAGTCCAACTTTTATCATACTTTAGTAAGATCTATCGTGACACAAGATCAAACTGAGACCTCCTTGAAGGCAGCAGACAATCCTGGCCTCCACCTCTGAACCCTTGAGAACCATGTAGTTTCTGATACATCACACCCACTCCTGAGTTACTTTAGGGAAACAACTAAGATCCTGAAGTATTAAAGTATAGACACAGGGGGAACACACTTTCATGGAATCTCAAAATAGAAGAACTAGACACTCTTTGAAGGTGTTTGAAGTTTTAGAATGAAATACTGTCTGAATCCAGAGATATTTGATATGCAGAGATTGTTCTCACTCATGCTAAAAACAGAACTCAGGTTTTTAAAAATACCAATGACTGAGAGATAAGTCAGCAGGAACGTCACGGGAACTATACATCTGGGCCAGTGCTGAAGCCTGGGTCAGCAGCTTCAGGGTTTGTACCTTTCCTTTGAGAGGAAAAGTTGATGAGTCACTGGGGAACAAGATAAGGGGAGCCTGGAGGGTCATAGCTTGCAGACATTCAGTTGTTAGTCCCCGAAAGCCCAGTATCATTTCAAACATCGGTTTGAATGAGTAAGAAGCTCCTTAATCCCTTCAAGAGGTGCCATATGGAATACTGTTAACTGTGATTATATCTATAATGCATACACACCTATACCTATTCTCCAGAGGAGAATTTATAATAGCATTGGTGTTTAACCTTCATTAAATATACAAAAATTATGTAGGAATTAAAGCATAACTGTCATGCAACTTGAGGAGGCAAGGGCAGCTGCTGGTTGATATCTCAGAGATCAAAACCGGCTGAAATTAATAATGTAACTGGAAGCTTTCAATTGTCAGAAAAAGAAAAGGCAGAATAAAGTGAATTTGGAGTCGAAAGTTGAAAAGGGGAGACATGACTAAAATGTAGATCCTAAATGGGTTTGAGGTTTACCAGACATTGTATTCTTCTTATATTAGCTATTTAAAGAGTATGTATCAATTTATATTAATTCTAGCAAGAAACATTCTCCTAACAGTCCAATTGATAAACAAACAAACAAACAAACAAACAGAAAAGCTGATATGTTACAGTTACCCATCTGTTTCCCAAATGCTAACTGTTGTCACTTATGAATAATCTCTGTTCTGGCCCATTGCTGTTTTGGAACTGACACATCATTGCAAGGGTTTTCATGACCTTCTCCATGAATTCCCTGATCTCTTCCCTATTTTCTACCTATATCTAAGGTCTGCAATACCCTTAGAAACTTTCAAGTTCGTACTGCCTGTCCGTCAAAGTTTCACAATGCTCTTTTGGGGAATACTGTGATGAACTGGACAGCCAAGGATCTTCCTTCCTCTTTCGGGATGAAGAAATAAGACTGAGTAAGCATGACACCGTAATGAGTAACTGTTAGTGTTTGCTCAGCATTGTATTAGATACCTTCATGCCCCAGTCATATTCCCTCCACCTGAGTGTTTGTTCTGCCCGTTACTGAGTTGACTAGCTCCCCTTGAAGCCCTGACATCAAATCTCAGCTGCAGTGTGGCTGTTCTGCCTCTTGTCCCATGCATTCTTTACTTTGTAGCAAGTCTCCTGAAAAAAATAACATTGGTTGAAGTCAGTCTCAGAAAAGAGCCCTGGGCCCAGATTTTTTTGGGTCTGTTGCTTTCCTTGTGGAGCTCCTGTACCTTCCAGGTCTTTCTATCTCCCCCTTCTTTCATAAGATTCCCTGCACTCTGCCCAAAGTTTGGCTATGAGTCTCAGCATCTGCTTTGATACCTTGCTGGGTAGAGTCTTTCAAAGTCCTTCTGTGGGAACAGCCTTACCAGGCCACAGAGAAAGACAATGCAGCCAGTCCTGATGAGACCTAATAGGCTGGGGTCAGAGGGAAGAGGAGGAGGACCTTCTATATCAGTGGACTGGGAGAGGGGCATGGGAGGAGATGAAGGAAGGAGGATGGGATTGGGAGGGGATGAGCGAGGGAGCTACAGCTAGGATACAAAGTGAATAAACTGTAATTTATAAAAAAAAATACATTTACAAAAAAAAAGCTAAAACTAAAAGAGAGAAGGAGGAAACTGAGAAATGGATTGCTGGATTGGAGAAAAAAAAGATAACATTGATAGCTCTGCTGTTAATGTTAGCCTATAGGGGTCAGACTGCTCCTCATTTTGTGTCTCTAGTCGACAATCCTCAAGGGTATTCTTCATGATTCCCCACCAGGAACAGGTCCTTATTGCCCTGGATGGAAAGTCAACTCAGCAACACACCCTTAGATTAAATCTCCCTCCATCTTGTTTCTCTTCAGGATCTCTCCCTCTTTTCCCTGGGTTCACTTCCAAAAAGGCTATGCTTATATGAAATATGTATTCTGGCCATGTTTCTTGGAGTACCCTCATTGAAAATAGGATACAAACATATTCTTTTGACTTCCCGGACCATTTTTCTTATTACCCTAGAAATCACCAGACCTGAAGTTCAATACTTATTATACCCATTTCCAATCTCAGACAAGGCTATAAGATTTAATATTTGAGTATAAGTATTTAATCTCTTTATGCCCTTCATGCTTTGCATAAATCAGGTGCCTAGCTCTAGAAAACTGTGGTTACCTTTAAGGCAAGGGTTCCCTAAGAAGAAGAATACATATGTAAAGCAGAGCCTGTCTGCAGGAAACTCAAGATAGTTGGAGTAGCTATCTTTACCCAGTGACATTTCAGTCTGTAGAACTTCCTGGCAGGCTCCTTTTCATCCCGAGTTTTCTAATAAGAAGGCAGACTTTTATTCTTATGGCTTCTTATTTTAGACATGTGGATGGCTTATTTTAAGCAGCCTCATCGAACAGAGAAGACATAAAAATATCTTTATAGATCTAAGGCTTATAATAGAAATAGCATCAATATTTACCAGCTGTAATTACATATACACATGTGTATTTATTGAGATTTGCCCTTCAAGGATTTATTGGCGGGGCATGGGTACTCATAGTTGTTTGCTTCTTGTACAAAAAGGATACTGAGAAAATTAAAAGAAGCCTCCGAGGTGAAATGCATTGATATCAGCATGCTGTATAGCATCGGACTGAGAAAAACTGACTGTTATTCTTGAGTCAGAAAGGATAGATTTAAACATAATAGCCCAAGAGGAATTCTTCTATTCATTACACTGGCTATCGGGTTAGACAGTCATACCAATCTGAGATAAGAGCTCCTAACGGTCACTTTATGCATTTGACAGAGAATTATGAAGGGACGTAAACACTGCTGTGCTTATTCCAAAAGACTGAGAGGTAGAGAGTGAAGGTATGCATGCAAGGAAACAGGGCTTCTGCGTCTCAGATCACTGAACTAAGATGTTGGTCACTCTAACACAGCAGTTCATATTTATTCTATAATTTTCCTCAAAGAAATAGATCCGATCTATGTGTCCAGTAAGTCCTCTTTTTTTCAAGTGTAACATAAAGACCTTCTATCAGTAACCACTCTGTGACGTGGGCACGGCCCTGGCCATGTGACTAGCAACTTGGTACGAAATAACTTGGCAAGAACATGTAATTGCAGTTGAGAGTTTGCGGTTTGACTGTAGCTTCTTATAGTTCGACTGCACCTTACCAGAGCATAAACATAATAGCAAGTCATTTTACTTGAAAACAGAAAAGTAGGGCATAAAACGCATAGTTACTTTCAACTCTTT